ATCCTAGTTGACGCTAAGGCACATCGGCAGCTCAATAGACAGATATGGAAGTCCTTTCGAAATGATGTTCGCAACTTTAATACAAATAGTAACGTAAGTGCGCCTATTAACGACCCCCCAAAATTTGTATCCTATTACCGCCCTATTTTTCTTTCTTTCATAAAAGACATAATAACAGGTTCCAGAAAACACGTTACCTAAAAAATATCTAGATATGTTTATTGACTATCAAAACGATTAAAGTTTGTGTTCGTAAATAACCAGTAAACGGAGTTATTTGACATTAAATGGGACGCGCCCGCAACGGACGCACTTTTCATACTGACGCGCTCCCAGCTACTTAAGGTGCACCTTGTTATTAATTAGCGATTTTAACACATTTAAAATGAGTATACCAACATGTTTTTGCATGACAATATTAATTCGTACTTTAGTTTCCTTAATAAACCCTCAATATAGCCCTCTCGCTGTATTTTTGTGGCTTAAATACAATTTTAAATAAGGGCGGTAATAGAAACACTTTTCATAATTTGGTTCCTAATAACGACCCATGGCGTTGTTAGAATTTTGATTAAGTTTTTTATTTTAGTATTTATATCTTTAATTACGCATTTAACCTCTACTTTGTTGTCTTGATCGATTCATAAGAATATTTCACATGATTAAATCAATTAACGCCATACGTTAATTGTCATAGGTTTGGCATAAAACTGCAATGAACATTAAAGAATATCTCTAATAATGTATGACAATAGATTTTATAAAAACCTGTTAAATTCTAATTAGTACCTGTTTGATATAAAATAAAACCTAATAGAAATGATACTTCACTGATCACGTCTTCATTAAAGTAGGTATTTTAGCTGGTTACTGTTTTTTTTTACGGTCGGTAATAGAATAAAGTAATATTCATACTTAATTCTATTACCGCCTCATAATTATAACGCCACCTGCGAAGACTTATAAGCCTGTATTTTGTATATAACTAACATTTATNGAACGCATAGAATTTAAAACAAGTGAATTTGCAAATTACGTCATTTTACACAATAGCCCATAGTAGACTTCTTTATTTGATGTATTTGGTAATCGATTATCGATTCGGAATGATTAAGATTCGATACTAACCGATAGGTAGCATAGGAATTTGTTTTGTTTACTTGCATTAAAATTCTAGCTTGTTAAACCGCCATGTGCTATGCATGTCATTGGTGATACTTCATTGTCGAATACAGAACAGAACTCTTCCATAGTAAAGGTTTACTTAAAAAATATTGTAATTTATGTTTTGCATAAGTAATTACTAATCGTCATCATTTCAGCTACAGGACGTCCACTGCTGAACATAGGCCTCTCCCAATGATTTCGAGATTGACCGGTTGGTAGCGGCCTGTATCCAGCGTCTTCCTAAGGCGGTTATCACACTGCGCCGCGCTCCGCCGCGGAGCGCGTGATTTCATATAAAAAATCCCGCGCGCAGACGCGTTGTCAGTGTGAAGTGCCGCGCGTGTTTTCTATACAAACTAAGGTACTTGCATACAATGATTAAATCAGTCGTCCCGCGCTCCGCGGCGGAGCGCGGCGCAGTGTGATAACCGCCTTACTTTATGAGGTCATCTGTCCACCTTGAGCCGGACGTCCTATACTGTCTAAGCCTGTGCAATGTGTAAATAGTAGCCAAAATAATACCTAATAAATTTCATTGCAATCTACGGTACCAAGACAAGGTATAATTATATCATTACCATGAGGAGGTCCTAATGATATCCTTTCCAGGAATTTCATACGGATATGTTATTGGTATAGACTGCACGTCAAGCTAAGGGGTCTTGTGTAGAGGTAATAGGGTTGATTTTTCAACAACAATGTATGTTTAATAGCAGCAACTCATCCCAAGCGTTAAATAGTGGTATTACACACCTTACTTATGATTGACACAGTAAAAATTAAGTATAGTAGGTAATACATGCACTCATTTAGCACTATTTTATAGGCACATTTATTTTTCGAAGCCAAGTCAAGTCAAAAAAACAGGGGGGTGGGGATGAAAATCATTCATTTTTCATATCCACCCCACTGTTTTTTGACTTGACTCGACTAATTTCCGCGCAGTGTAAATCGGCCACATGAAATATAGATGACTAATTGCACCAACTTAATTTATTTATTCGTATGAAGTCACTTTAATGCTTGTAAATCAAATTCTTTCATAATATTTATCGTTATAATTACTATTGTTTAATAATACGTACCTAACAATTGATTTAACTCCAGTAAAATATAATTAATTGTGTTTGTACACTACTTTTCTAGTCATAGGTTTTCCCAACATCTTCATCTAATAACTGTTAGAAAAAATAATCATGTAGGGTTTTTTGTGTAGATGATTCAAACAAAGCAATATTTTTCTATTAGTGATGTCATAAAACTCATTTTATTTTTTGCAAATTAGCTTTTAGAAGCTATGATATCTTCCATTTATCCCTTACACTGCTTCATAGTCTTGATTGAAATGAAGATGGTTCAAAAAACATTATTTTTCTTAATACCTAATGACTTTATAGCAGTAATTTATTCTCTTTTGAAAATTTTACCTGCCAGTGCTGAAAATAAGCAGCGCATGAAACTCAGCCACTATTTGATAGTATTGACGAACTACTGCTTTACCAAAACTACGTTGTGTGTGTGGTCCTTGACACCATGAGTTAGTACAATGTAATACTAGAGTGAAACTGATTAATAAATAACTAGGTAACCGTCTCACTTGGAATGCAGTGAACCGTGGACAGTAGTGGAATTAATCGCCAGGGGATTCCGTAATAACTATACTCAATTTACTTGTATTAGTACATTATTATACGTGAAAAGTTAGCGTGTGAAAACTAGTATTATTTGTAGGTCTAATTTAGATTCTAAATAAAAAACTAAAACGTGAACTGCGTCTTCGAACACGCATGGCATTTTTTTATTTACAGGGTCGAATTGCATGCAATTTAAAAAAAAATCTAAATTATAGCCCTATAAATTCATTGTTGGAGCGAAACCACATCGAAATTCATATAGCCGTAAGTAACAAATTAACAGACGAACACGCGAACTCGTCTTGTTTTGTAACAAATAAATGAAAAACATAAACAAAAACATGCCTATTAAAGCGTGAGAATAAATAAATCGATATCTAAAAAACGTACAGTAACATAATATAATTGCCGTGAACTTCTACAATATTATTCAATAACTGAAAACACCGCTAATGAAGTAGGTCATATTATGTAACATTAAAATTATTATTGTTATATAAAATAACTGATTCATTTAAAACTAATAACTCGTGCTACGTACGAGGCACACTACACACGTTATTAAGCATCTAATTGGTGGACTGAAATATAGATTTTGAAAATAACATTTTACTGGCCAATTAATCAAAGTACTTTGTATAGGATTAACCTGAAAATTAGTTAATCGACATTCTTGCAATATCGCGTCACATGTACTTTTGATGATTTATTTAAAACGATATTGGACAATATTCACGGTACAATAAGCGAACTAAATGTACCGAAATTATTAAAGTGTATTCACGTTATTTCTTCATTATGTACTCGTGAAAACTTTGTGGAAAAATTGGAGTTGTCTAATTCTTCACTTCAGACGTTGGTCAGAAATCAAAAGTGATCATTATTTGCTGTGTTTATGTGAGTAATATTATAATAGTGTAAAAAAGAAACGAGTCTTAAGCCTGTTTAAACAAAACAACGTTTTCTCACTGACAAATTGCGCGTAAAAACACTCACTAGCAAACTACAACCGAAAAAACTAGGCGAAAAACTGTTACCTAGGTAATTTTGATCAGACGAGTTTTGATTCATGTTAGTTTGTGAATTGCAAGTTTATCAATCTGGAATTCCCTCAATAGACGTCTAAACTGTGCTATACAAAATACGAGTTAGCCCGGTCCACTTCAATAAACGCATTTTCTAGCAAACGAGTAGATGTAGAACGTAACGTGCGCGTAACGCAAATGGTACGTGTTAATAAATATTGAACTCGCTTCGGGATTTATGTTTTTATTTTGACACGGGAGCGGTTGAATAGTTGTAAGTCAGGTAGTGATGACATTTATATCTTACTTAATATTGCCGAGAGTAATTTTCGGCTGCTATGTTGACCGCGTTATATTAGGTGTGTAACTTATAATTACTTGATCAATTAACTGTGTATTTTCACCTATCATTCAAGTATGTTTAAGTTTATAAGAACATTTAAGATACAGGAGCGATGAAAGTATAAATATTATCAGGAGGCATTATATTCTCCCGACTGGCTCTATCGGAAACTTATCAGTCTAGGTGTTCTAGTGCTAGCTACGTTACGTAATAAAGTATCTACCTCGATGTTCGATTTATCGCTAATGCATAATTTAGAAGGTACGAGTAGTTTCACGTCTAGTAGCGTCTTTACCTATTAAATATAAACTTCTTCTGTTAGGTTTTTTTTCTACCGTATAAAAATCAAGATAAGTCATGGATTTCAAAGGAAAATGTATCGGAAAATTCACCTTTTTAAAAGTGCCACAAAACAAAAAGGCCTACCTACACACACGAGGATGTTTCTGATAGTCCATAACTTAAGAAACGTAATTATTAAAACGTAAAGGGTTATTGTTGGAGTTACAGTCGTTAGTCATTTTTATTTATAGGTTTCAGGTTTTGTTCGTGTTATTTCTTCTTTTTAAGTACATTTTATTTGCGCGATATAAACGCCATTTCACGTCTGTAATCAACATTTATCTTAAGTTTTTTTAAGCTACGCAGACGATGATTCTATTTATTATTAAATGTTGCTGATTAATTAAGAATAATACAAATAATGAACCTACATAGACTAAATATTTAGTTAATCTTAAGTTTTTTATTTTATTTAATAAATTTCCCAGGAGCGCAAATCCTCGCGTAACGCGCAACATAACGTGCTAAGCGCGCCGGGCAAGCCCAGGCAGCGTAACGCAGAGCTTACACAACCGTAGTACATATTAACGCGATGCGCCGGCGCACACCACAGTGACACACCGGCTGCCGACATGATCTACAACATCGCTGTGAGTCCTTTATTTATATATTTAAATATAAATTAATTAAATTGTACCACTAAATCGGGAAAACATCAATTTTTGATTGATTAATTATAATAACTAAACCATTTGTAATAATAACAACAAAACAAATTATTTTACAATATTATTGACATATTAAAATAAGCTATTTTGTTGTGGTTGTCACTATTAGAAACAATTAACCATACTTTTAGTTTAAACTCTAGTTCGCCAACAAAATATTTTAATTTTTTGTATCCACAGACAGAAACTAATAATTGGACTTAAATGTGTAAATCGGTGAATACAAGACTTTTAGAAAAAAATCATACCTTCTATAAGAATTCGTAGGAAATGTTTATTAAATACATACTGTAATCTTCAATAAGCTTTGCTCTTTTCTACAAGTGTTAAAAACAACCCCTCCATTTTTTTTTCTTATCAATCGCAGACAACTTTTAAAAATTGTTTATAATTGCAATTTTTTTGCGTTTCTTTTCGAATCATAATAAACAAGACATTACTTACCAAGACTGAGGGCAATAAAACAAAGGCGGTCATGTGTAGCCAAACCGCAGACTTAAGACTTTTTGTCGGCCGATAATAGGGTCGGGCTGTTAATCAGTAAGGACATGTTTGAAAGTGCGCACATTGATATCGGCCAATTCTTCATACAAATTAGAATCGGGCCCAACAATCAGCAACTAAAAGTCTGTAGTTTGGGGGAAGTCTAATATTATGTCAATTATTCTGTCTTAAGAATTTACTACCTAATAATTATAGTATTTTCAGCAAGGATGCTCTAAAAATTAAGAAACCCTACCCTGTGCAAAATTATAGGCACTCATAATCAGCTATAAACCGGCTTTATCATAGTAGGTACTTAATCGGCCAGTTTATTGTTACTGTTTTAATAATTAAGCAACACGGACTATTCCATCCTGTTAATCATCTTTTACGTAACTGTTTTTAAACTACAAGTCCATTGCATAAATTATGTAAGAAATAAATAAAAATATATCAGTGAATTTCAATCTAGAGTTTTTGTCGCGTGTCCTTCTTTGTCCTCCTTCCAAAATCCAGGATATGAACTACATCCCTATTTTTGCCCTCTTCTTCTTCGTCGCTACACTCTTGCCAGAGTGGTCGTGGTCGTCACACCAGGTCCGGTGGCAAGCCTCACAATCCGTCGCCATTCCTCCCTCACTGCAGCCTTTGTGCACTCGTGGAGTGGACCATTGAGTGCGGTTTTGACCTGGTCAGTCACGTTCCACCGATTCTCGAAAAAAATAGCACTTATTCGTGAGATAAATACCTACTTTAAGCCTGATATTAAAGGATTTGTCGCGCTGAATGTGATCTGCGTTCAGTTCAAAGTAAATGTAGCTCGCATAATGTATCTTGATCCTACTTTGACCTGACCGCAACCAATGTAGCAAATCCTTTAACAAAAACATAGTAAATCCTTAAGAGTATCTCTTGAAAAAAATCAGGTAGATTCAGGAACTAGTAACGAAAGGTCTGAACGATCGATCCATATTTTATCGATATCGATTTTTTATAAACTGGCTCTTTTTAAACGCATTACTATGCAGAATTGCGCTGTTACGTCTTTATTTAGGGCATGCGTGTGCGCAAGACTTATTTGGCTAGCCGGCTGTGTATCCTAGTACAGACGGCACATTAAGTTTAACAGTGGATCGTATGCAGTTGTAATAGATGCTATTTTTTTTTATCCACTACGAGGAAGCTCTTGGCCTGTATCTCACCTTTTTACATCAACACCTTTTTTCAATAGCTACTTACATTTTGCAACTAAAATGTAGCTGTTGACTGTACTATCTGTCAAACTCCATCGTTATTATTACAATAATTTGCAAAGCACTTTTTAAACGGATTTGATCATTGATTTTTCAGTTTAAATATTGTCATAATTAGATCGGAGCTATTTCAGTTTTACAATTTAATTAAACAATTTTTAATTTGTTAAAAAATTAAATTGCTAATAAAATCTGCAGTAATAAGTATATTGATCGCATTAGATGATGTATTAATTAGTTTACAAATTATGACATATTTTGTAACATAAATTGACATTTTGAATTAATTTTCAATCGTTTTATTTTTCTACAAAAAGAAACGTATTTTTTTTTCTTTTGTAACATAGCACATAACTATATTTTTTTGTCTTTCCAGTTGACTTTTGCTCTGCTGATGGCAGCTGCGTGCGTGGCTTTGCCGGTGCCGGAGCCTGATCCTCACCACACACGGTAAGCCTTCAGCTTTGCCATCTTATTTCGATGTAATAGAAGTTATTTTGCAACAAAAAATTATAGTTTGATTGTACAATCGTCTTTAACTCTTTGCAAGAGCACACTAGTACAAATGAATAGTGGAAATAAATACAATAAATTCATTGAATTTGTCTTATATTTGGGGAATACTTATACCTACTATAGCTATATACATTTATATTAAAAAAGATGCAATGATTTCAATTTCACCCTGTATTATTATGAGGCGCTGGGGATTCTAATCTGCTACCCTGCTGCTGGTACATAATATTCCACGTTGGTGACGTGACCTAACAATAAATTGTCATTGAACTTTATTGACAAAAGTTTGAATAATGGCATGTTTATTTTCCAGTATCAAGATCCACGTCCCCCACGAGATCCACACCCTCCACCACCACCACGTCGAGACCGTTCCGGTGATCAAGACAGTTCCCGTCATCAAGACCGTGCCAGTTTACAAAGAGGTTCACGTGGTCAAACCCGTCCCAGTCATCAAGACCGTGGGCGTCCCAGTCTACCAGACCGTGGCCGTTGAGAAGCCTGTCTTCATACCCTACAAGGAACACGTCTCAGTATCCCATTCCTGGCATTGATTGAAAATACCTTCTTAGTTAGTACATAATAGGGTCACAAATACCTTGACACGTTCGTAGCATGTTAGGTTAGCGCAAATCAACAAATTTGTTTTTGGCGATATTTTTTTGGAACTTGTACATAAGAAAAGAATGTCTTACACATATTTATTATGTACAAATAAGACTGAAATTGAACGTGAAGCCATGTAGATACAAGTCAGCAATATGTCTTCTGATTTTTAAGTTCTGCCTTGTCATCTTTAGTTTTTGAAACCACATAGTTTCTAAGATGTAAATAACATTACGTTATCTTAANTATCTTTATACTTTTTAACATTGTTATTATCTATTACTTATATGAAGTCCGTCGAAAAGTTAATTGTTATTTCGATGGGAGATTTTCACCAAATTTATTGGTACCTGCTTACGCATATTTCTAAATGTACATACTATTGTAGCCACTCTACACTGTCGAAAATGACAATGAGAGAGAATCGAGTCGAAAATTATATAAATTGAAGTCATACACAAACGAAAAGTACACAATTGAAACCGAATCTGTGTTTTATTTCGAAATAAGTACAACGTACTTACCCTCGTTTAATCTTTTTGTACCTTTGACTTGTGTAAAAGAAATTGAGTAAAAGTGTCACTCCCCGATAATCAAAATTGAAATTATTAGACGATGAATAATGTATTTCACATTTGTAGTAACTTCGTTTCCCTTTTATCTCTATGAATGTGAACAAATTAAATAATCAGAGCACTCTGAAGTGGATACGTACGCGAGTATTTTTTAAAACTGAGATGAAATATTTACGACTTTATTTACTTTTTCATAATCTGACCTACATCTACGTACAGTCCGCATCAATAACCTTCAACAATTTTGAGAAAAATATACTTTTAAACAGAATTCAACAAATGATATGTATTTTTTAATAAAACAGATGAAATGATACTTAAGACTTTAGGTATAAATATCGACTGAATCAGACATTGAACTTTTTCAGTGATCTGAACATTATTTCAGTTTTGGTTTTCCTTATTTAATTTTAATATCATATTTTAATGCCGCTAAGATTAACATTGTCTAGGTTTTTTTTGTGAATTAAATAAATGACAAAGCGAAGCGAAGAGCGATAACTAAATCGAATCTCATAAATGTCACATTGTCTATGATGCTTGAGCTACAATTTTTATCGAGTTTCATTTTATCTGTGGACGAGCAAAACGTCAAAGTTTAGCGTTGTTTGTACTCGCTATCACTCGGCGCACGCGTTTGTTGACTTGTCAAACTGCTACTCGATTTGTATACTTACTGCGACGTCTGATTGTCACGTCGTAGGCCTCGCATAAAGTATGTAAAACTAGCTTCAGCACGCGGCTTTACGTGGATTTTGGATTTTGACTTTAGCAGGCGTTCGTTATCAATAAGCTGATTCCATATCAATAACAAATTTAAGAATTTTTAGTTCACTAACTGCTTACTTAGATGTTTTTCCAAACCCTAAATAGCAGTCATAAAAGCTATTATACATCGCAGTATGATTTTAACTCCTTCGGTACAATAAATGGGTTAGTTCTGAGAAAAAAGCAGCGTAAGAAACTCAGTTAAGTTAAATATAAATTTTTCGAAGAAGAAAATTCATGATGCCCAATTGACCTTTGCTGAAAATTGAGTGATAAAAAAATTCTCAATCAATTAAACACCACATTAACCACCTTAACGCCATATCCCATTCATGAACACAATATGGGCCCAATCACCACATCGCTCGTTAAAGTCGTGATAATTTTTCCGCTCGCTACTCGACGTCCTGATATCCGACCAATTAATTCTTTTGTACTACTCTTTCGAGGTAAAAACACAGCGGTATCTTACATAGTTGTAACAGGGATCATTTTGCAATAAATCTGGTTTCGTGCAGTTTGTGCTGTTGACGGTATGTATCTACTGATAATTTCGCACACAACCCTTGACAACTCAGATAAGTGAACAAAACTGAGAATTTAAAAGCCAATTACATAATTTGCATAAAACAATGGGATGAACCTGTCGGTTTAATTTATTGCCGTATCGAATGTGCATCGTCAGCTAAATACGCTATAAATGTGGTAATTAGTTTTCCGCTGTCACTGTAAAATCAATAATGACAAGTTATAGCTGAAAAATACTAGAAGAAACCATGGGTTAGGGTATGCTCCACGTACCTTCTCTTGAGTCGATTAACATTGTATTTCGTAACTCCACTTACTTACTGTGACCACTATTTCGTTATCTTGTCAATAAAAGTAGCTATTGCATTATTTGGAATCTCTCGCATCTTGATTGTTTATCTTCTTTCAATAACTGTAGGTATAGGCAGGTTTTGTAAAAACGTTTTTTATTTATTAGTTTTAGGGGATTACTAATGTTTGGCCAAAAAACGTTTCCCAAATTATCACATCGCAAACAACGTTTCGCAAATTTTCATTTGGCAAAATCTCATTTGGCAAAACAACTTATTGCAAACTTTTAATTCGCAAATGTCTTTTTTGGCATATTATTGTTTAGCAAATTATTGTTTGGCAAAGTATGTTTTGCCAAATGTTTCATTTGGCAAAAATATTTCACGATAAACTATTTACAAAATAATTTGATTGGTGCATAGAATAGAATACAAATTAGCTTGTTGTTATTATTTTGTTAAGTGGGTAGTTAATATAAAAGGACAATGACCAAAAATGTATGGAGTGTGGTCCAAATGTCCACCACTAACGAGACCTATGTAGTAAAATAGTCTACTAAATACTGATTCATTATAACCAAACCGCAATCAAAAATATGCTGTCAGTAAAAAGTTATGACTGAATGAAAAGTCATGTTTTTACCTTTTCATCCAAAAAATGTTCTTGATATCATTCTATCCATCGCACATTTTGGATTAATCTATGCATGTTATGTCATGTCGCTTAGTGTGCCGTGTTAGATTATCGCTAAAAGAAAAAAAAAAGCTCAAAAGAAGGACAACAATATTGGAATTATGGTCGGGTGGTCGCTGCTCCGCCCCTATTGGTTGTAGGGTGATGTTATATAACCTAAAACCATCCTTGATAAATGGGCTATCCATAACAAAAATATTTTTTCAAATCGGACCAGTACTTCCTGAGATTAGCGCGTAAACTACTACAATTTTTCATACGGTCATAACTTTTTACTGACAGCTTATTTTTTTTTCGTCCCATACTGAAAGTTAATCTCTATTTAATGGACTATAAGCCAATATAGGTCTCATTAGTGGTGGACATTTGGACCACTTTTGGTCATTGTCCTTTGTTCTAAATTAATTTTCAAATTTCATTCTTTTTATCGAAATTTTCAAATGATTCATTAACAATAGAGGTGATTCTAGCGCTCGGCGGCCGCTGCCTTGGGATATAATATTTGGCAAAATAAAACATTTGCTATCTAAACATTTGCCAAGTAAAATTTTACCAAATGATAATTTGACCAAATTAATTAGTTGCGAAAAGTACAGTTGCTAAAAGTTCATTTGGGAAATGAAACTTTGGCGATAAGTTTTTTGCGAAGTGAAATTTGGCGAAAAGTAATTTGGCCAAACGGAAGGATACCAGTTTTAGGTACTTAATCGAGTTCAAAATTATTGTCCGCTTATTTATGAATATGTTTGTGATAAGCTGGCCTTATTTAGGATGATTCTAAACCACTAAATCCTGGTGGTTGCATTCGGTTAGATTAGCGGTTATCCCGCCCATGTAATGGAATTAGCAATAATAAACTTGGTATCGAATACGTATCAATATTTAGGATTAGCATGCAAAATTAATTTATTTAGAATTTTCAGCATATCTACTTACTGCAGTCGACATTATACATGTAGATATTTAGTTACATACAGCAAAAGTCTCTCTCGCTCTACCTTCGGTGTGATCACCACTTTCTAGCAGGCGAAATGCAGGCCAAGAGCTTCCTCGTTGTGGATAAAAAAAAATATAAAAGAGAAATTCGAAGTTTTTTTATGACTATGTTATGATTAATCAAAAACTTTCATCAACTTTGATGGGAACCAGGCTAAATTTACCCCAAAAATGTATACAGCAGATATTTTTGTAACAAAACAACGGGGCGAGGGCAAAGTTACATTATTAATGAGGCTTAATCATGCGAACTCCACGTGATTTCCTGAAAATTATAGCCTCGACGAAATTTTTAAATTATACCTACAACACAATAACCAATTATACAGGCCAGTAATTTCTCTATCCGAAACATCAGGGCGGAAAATTTGTTTTCGCAGACAAATAAACATACGTCAGCTGGATAATGATTGCACGGGCCGTTTTGCGGGGTACTTAATTAAAAAGAACAATATTCGCCGTTTTTGTTGTTTGGCGAGGGACAGAGCCGCGTTTTTATACCATACGAGGTATTTGAATTAGCTTTAATGGGATATGCAATAGCAAATGGATTGTCCATTAAAAAATCCCCGAATGAGAACAACATAATACATGACGTCCCCATTAGAACTGCCGCTGCCAATTTGTCTTGTGAATTTTTGTCAACAGCACCCAAACAACTACATGTATCATGTGAATCGCTGAGGTGACACTTTTTTATAGAATTTATTTGATCGAGATGAGAGTGGCACCTACCCCATGACTACGCTTCTACTCGTATCTTGAAGAACTTATTGGTTCATTGACAATATTTTTAGTACCAAAATAAAACTTCCAGAATGCAACTGCCACGTTTTCTTCATTAATATTTTCAAAGAGCCATGCTCAATCTTCATCTAAGGCTCTTACCAACTGTAACTCTATATAACGACAAATAACCCGGAAGAAAAATCGCCACCAATTTAGTAAAGGACTAATAACTCCGCAAGAGGCCCTATCTTGTCGCTAGATGGCAGTTAAATAAGCCAAATTGTCCATCCCTTCGGACGGAGCCCAGTTTTATAGCACCTTATATCTTCTAGATTTGCCACTCCTTTTTCTCTGATAACATCGATTCATTATATTCCTTTTGTTTTTGGGAAGTATACTAAACTTTCAGTTACGATAATTTCCATTTTTGCAGAGTACCCTCGCCTATTCTCAACACCCTATATAAAAGCCCTTAAAGTGCTTCTTTGTTGTATTAATTTGAACAGACAAAGAAGCTATTATAATTAACAAGATATCGTCAGAAAGGAATAATAACTAAGAGTTTGATATAAAAATACGATTCATTTTATATGATAAGACCCTGTCATTTTTTTATAAGGGCG